ATGGTAGTTTTCACTGATGTATTGACGCACAAACCAATTTTTTTTGTTAACCATTATGCAATGTAAGCTTTGTGAGATTTTCAATAAAAAGCTGAAAATTTTTAATGGCAGATTCGCAGAAATACCTGAATACTGAGATCAATAACGCCTCAGTACGTACTAAGCTTTTTAATCTTTCGTGAGAATAATAACCGCAAGAAGAAGAAGAAAAAAAAAACGTTTGATGCTGATGCTGAGTTTAGCTTGTTTGTCTATACCTTCGCTCATGGTTTTCCGTTTGAAAATAGGAATAGAGAATTACTAATTAGTAATAGTTCAAAACATGTAATTTTGACACACGTCCCTTGCCCCAGCGCTTGCCATTGGATTAGTGTATAAAAAAGTTGCAAAAACTGCAACTTTGTATATTACCGCCAGATGGATGGCATTCCTGTGGACTAGAATCAAAGAATACAGAAGAGCTTTTTGTCGAACCAGACGTCATCCAAAATTGCAATAACTTTGACTTTAATAACGTTATGGAAGTGGAAAGGGGAGACTTTCACTTAGACATGAAATCAGGAAATGACAGTATCGAGATTCCTTTAATCTACACGGGACTCATAGAATCTTGTAATCTTTCGCGTTCTAATTAACAATTCGCAGGCGGTTTTCCATTGTCTGTACTCTTATTGACAATGAAATTGACGTCAAAAATGCTCAAAACTCAAGTGGAACCACGAGCGTGTAGAATTCTCGCGCGCTGATTGGTCGAGGGCCGTTGTCAATCCTAGGACAGACGGATGAAATGACGTATCGCTCGCGCACGGAGCCGGTTTTGTTTTTAAAGTTTTACTTTGTTTTCAGCTTTTTTATGGTAAAAAACAATTCGCAGGCGGTTTTCCATTGTCTGTACTCTTATTGACAATGAAATTGACGTCAAAATGCTCAAAACTCAAGTGGAACCACGAGCGTAACCGCCTGCGAATTGTTAAATTTCATTCACTGAGGAAGGCCATCGTCTTGACCGTAACCTCTGAACAACCATCAGCTAATGTCAAATAGCTCAAAACTATTGTCAAAAAATATGGCGACATTTGTCTGATGAAAAATGATGGAGTCAGCCACAGGTAGCCCAAGCTCATCACTTGAATTGTCGGCTTATCCCTCATAGAGAAAAAAAGGAAAAATTCAATAAAAGGTGGAAAACTCAGTAAAATGCATTCAAACTTATACGGTAATAAATACTGCAAGTTTTGTAAGGATTAATCATTGCAATTGACCATATGAAAAACGAGCAGCAAACTTGAAATGAGGACATACAACCAAACTAGTTAAATTTGAAATGAAAAGAGTTACAAGCATTTGAGAAATGTTAAAAGATCTTTGTTGGTTGTATTTTTCATATTTTGCGCGTGTGCTGCGTTTGGGTTTCACTTCTTCAACCTCATTCTTGTCGTCAGCCTCGACGTCGGTTTTTGCCTTCTTGCCACTACGTGTCGTTGTTGGTTGTTCTTCAGCAACACGCTTCCTTCCAGACCGCCTTTCAACCACTTCTTCTGTTTGTTTCTGKGGTTCTTTGCGACTGCGTGTTGAGCGGCTGTTATTAGTCCCTTGTTTCTTTAATGGTTCAGTCTCTGGGATGACGATTTCTTCAGCAATAACAGGTTTCGATTGTTTCTTGCCACCGCGTGTTGAACGAGTCTTCGGTTGAACTTCTACCTCGGGCAAAACTTCCTCAGTCTTGGTCTTCTTTCCACGAGTTGATCTCTTTGGTGGCATTACGTCTACTTCTTCGTCTTTCTCGACGGCGACTTTTTTACTTCGAGTGTTTCTTGAACGAGTTACTTTCTCAGGCTTTACTTCCTCGACTTCAATTTCTTTTTCATTAACATTGTTGGCTCTTGTCCTTCTCGTGTCCTTGGTAACAGATTCATGTGAGCTCGATTCGTCTTTCTCTTCGGCAGGTTGTTCAACTGTCTTCTTTCCACGTGTTCTTTTTGCACGAGTTGTGGTTGGTTCTTCAACTTGTTCAGCGGACTTTTCGATAACAGCTTTGCTTTTAGTTTTTCTAGTATCACGACGAGTGATCTCTACTTCGATGACAGGCTCTTCAACTTGCTTTTTACCGCGTGTCGCACGAGTTTTCGTTGGTTCTACAGCTTCTTCAGTAGACGTTTTGTTGTCTGTACTTGCATTTTCGACAACATGAGCTTTGCCTTTAGTTTTTCTGGTAGCACGCAGAGGTTTCTCGACTTTCTCCTCGGCTGGTTCTTCGACTGTCTTTCGACTGCGCGTTCCAAACTACGTATAAATTTGAGAAATGTACCAAAAACGTGAAAACGAGACAGGTAAGGCTTTAATAATACTGAATTTCACTCGAACATTTGCGATCTCTTTCACGCTGTGTTAGCCTCAAAACCATGTAATCAATTTGTTTATTCCCTAAGAGTCCGTGCAAATTCAAGATATCTGTGAATATAGAAGACAATGGAAATAGTTTGAAATTTCACGAGTTTTATAATATTAGTAAATTTCTGAATATTTTACAAACAATTGAGGCTAAGGACCGCGCTATACGCAAAACTTCACATGTGACGAATACAATTTACGAATTAAATGCACGTGAGATGTGGCGTATAAATCAATTAAATTCGACAGTATTGAATTAAATACGACCTTAGTCGAATCTGCGACTGAAACAGTTGAATAAGATACGGCAATGGTGCGGCAGTTGATTTATGCGCCGTATCGCACATGTTCCAAATGCAATAACACACATTTTTTTTTCATTTCTGCGTGGTGTTCTTTTGTGGTTTGAATATATGAATGAAGAAGAGAAGGGAAATAATGAACATAAAATGGAAGTATGTATGAGAATGGAAGGGAAGGAAGGGAAGAAATGAAAGAAAATGACAAAACAAAGAACTTAATAACTAAATAACTGTAGAAGTAAAAGTGTGGTTATAAGTAAAAAAAAATGATAGTTGAATGAATAAAAACTAACTAATGTAAATAACTAAATAAAAAGATAAACGAGGAGAATTAACTGAATAAATAAAGAAAACAACAAAGAAACAAATAAAAAAATAGAAAAATAAAAAAAATAGATAAATGGATGCAAGCGAAAATGTGTGAGGAAACTGACAGAAGAATGGGAGGGAAATGATAGTGATGAAATAGAAGGTCGTTTGTATATGGGCAGGGGAAAGGGAAATCATTGTTTATGACTGGATGTTGTAAGTGTGTGGGGGTGATAGTAAGAGGTGAGTGGAATAAAAAGAATGGGAAAGAGGTGGAGAACAATGTTGGGAAAGGAAGGATAATAGTGAACATGTGAATTGAAAGTGTGTGTGGATGTGTTACGGTAAATATTTTATATGTGTTTCTGCGGACCTCGGGGCGGACTAGCTTGGTAATAACCGACTCGAACAATGGCGTGGGCCCGTAATCTGACTTTTACCCTACGAGATGGCACGAGACTTGGAGACAGAGCACGGAGTAAACTTCTCTTTTTAAAACCTTTCTTTAATCTTGAATAACAGTACTCTAGCACACGGCTAGTTGGTCTCTTGACTAGCATGAGTCAAGCTCAATGCTAGGAGAGTGGTCTCTAGATCTCTGATATTACAATGATTCTCAGGACTATTTATGCTAGATCCGTTATACAATATTAATTACCTTAAGTTGTTTGTTAGCCAAAACAATCATAAAATAACGACGCGTAAAGCTTAACATCCAATCACAATGATAATAGCGAAGATGGCCTAACATACGCAAAACACTATTGGCTGGAACTATGACGCTAAGTAAAGTGTCCAGCTGGTGCTACCAGTAACTTTTAGCACTTTGCAGTTCCTTGGCGTCGCTTGTTTCCAGATAGTGACGCTACTGAATTAAAG